GATTTATTCTTTCCATATTAACCACTGAAGCCAATGACTTGGTCCACACATAGTAGACTTGCTATGAAATCAATAGCAATGAGGATGAAGAGAACAAAAATGGTAGCTGTCAATTAGATAACTAGCTTGGGTAAATAATTGAGGTATGATTCAAAATAAACACACATCCTCCATTAATCACTTTGTGATACTGATATTCTCAATAAGCCAATAATTGCTCCTTTCAAAAGTATTCACATCAGAAAATGGTCTAGACATTGTCAAGAGGTTATAGGACCCCACCATGCAAGTGATCTTGATTTAAGAACTCACTAACTGAACTTTATATTTAATTAATAACTTTCAAGTGAACAGATCTAAGAGGGAAATTTTTTTTCTGAATATTAGATTCCCTGATGTTTCAGAACAAATTTTTAGCAAGCTTAATACACACACACACACACACACACATGCACACACATACGCACGATGAACATGTGCACACAGCATGTGTGCTGGAGGGAGCAAGCCCACACCTCACACGCTCGCTCACACACGTGCACACAGGCGCGCACACACACAGAAATGCTCTTTCAGAGCTTCTAAACAATCTCCAAGAAAAACATTTCTATTAGCATGATTTCAGTGACACGACATTGTGACTTTCTTTTTTTGTCTCTAATAATTTCCATACCTCCCTCTGAGTGTTTTCAAATTTCAGAGGAGGATGGCACATGAGAGTAGCTAAGATTGCCCCAATTACTCCCTCCATCACCTGTCTTCCTTTCCATTTCAGTCATTGTGCCATTCTTCAGCAAATCAAATACAAAACACTATGTGGCTTGATGTGACAAAACCTGTGATGAGGGTGTTCAGTGAATGGAAATTTAGGGGTTGGAACTGGCAAGCCAAAAGGCAAGGGCCACCTGCTCATGGGCACATCCACCCTCAGGATACAGCTTGTCTCTTTGAAACCAGGTTAACTACCAGTGTTTTTTGTTTTTTTCTTGAGGACACTGGCACTGTGGACTGAGGGTCTGAATCGCCCACATTTTCCTAAAAGCCAAAGAGAACATTGTTAGGACTAACTGAAATTGGATTCAGAATTCTACCCAAAAGCTTTAGTGGTAAGCTTTATCCCTCCTGAAACATTTCTTTCCCTTTAAAAAAATATTTTGTTAAAAAATACTATGATATGAGGGCGATAGACTATTTGGTTTCTTCTAAGTAGATGCTCTTAAATTAATGCATATAAATAATTTGTATTTAATTTCCTCTCTTTCCTGTTGAGCAAAGCATAGAATGCACAGATTGTTACATCTCGAGTCACTTGGTCAATGTGGAGTCTCTTTGTGTTTCATTTCTTAAGACAAATTGTGCCTCGCGTTCTGATTTGGCCGTGGGACTCAGGGGGAGAAAGGCTGTGTTTTCGCTCGCACTATCCTCGGTCTCTACGCTGGCCAGTTCGTAGTCTTCTGACCGTCTGGCATCAGTCAGAATTCGGATTTGTTCCTGGACAGTCTCTAGCAATATTTTCACTTCTTGTTGTTCTGCTAAAAGACAATCGCTGACTGGAATACTCACGTTGACGATGTCAGCAGAATAAGAGTTTTTGCACCATTTGATGCTTTTGACTTCAGAAATCCCTGGCATTTGCATGCAGGTTTCTTCTAGACCCACTGAAGGGATGATGGGCACAGAACTGGCCCTTGTGGATGAATATCCCACCAGGTCCTTTTGATCCAAGCTATTAAAATAGGGGTTGGTTTCTCTTGAAGGCAGTTGCATATTTATTGATGCATTTTGTTGGGTTTTTAAACCATTGGATGAATACCTGAGAAAGAAACAAAGTATCACACATCCTGCTTTCTGCTATCTTTAGAGCAATAGTCAATCCACAAAGAACTTTTCACATGCACCACCTCACTGAACTCTCACAGCAACCCCAGAGACGGATAATATGCTCCCAGTTAAACAGAGAAGTAAACTGAAGCTCAGGTCGCTGAAGTGACTTGCCCAAGGTCACACAGAAAATAAGTGACAGACTGAGACTCAAACCCAGATCTTCTTACTTTAAGTCCAGGGGTCTTTCAACACACCACAGCTGTATAGGCAGGTGGGGTATAGTCTTCCTGACCTCTATCCTAGAATACAAAGTAAATGGGGATTGAGCAGGTAAGTGTGGCCTTTCCATAGTGACAAACAGGAAACCCATAATGGCATTACCCTACTCCATCAAATCGACCACCCTCTTGGCCCTGGCTTAGTCCAGTAGACGTGTTGTGGCCACCCTAGTTGGAGGCAAGTGGGAAGCCCCACATCAAGCATAGGTATTGTGGTCCTGAGTTTTATTGCTTTACCACTGATTTTAGAATATATGAATCCAGTTAACAGCATACTACCTTTAAGAACTACCTCGCTAGCCCCTTACCGAGTCTGAAGTTGGGAAGAGGAGCACACAATTTTTCTGCCTGCTTAGGGATCAATATAAGGTGGCTTCACAGGGGCTCCTACCAGTTGAGTAGCTTTCTTTGTGTAGTTTCTAGAATTAGGTAATTCAATGGTGCGTGGCGACAACTTGTCAAGAATGCCAGCATGCCATTCCAAGTAATTTGAATATGCCAGAATGTGACTAGGTTCACGGATGGTGATTTTTTTTTTCCTCCTCTGAGCTCTCCAATGCCAGAAAGTAGGAGAGGTATATCACAGATTTATTTTTAAAAATATGTGATTTGGGAACTTTAACAGATTTTATTCTGTTTCTTAGTGATTTGTCTTGAACATTAGACACGTTGAGTTATATTTTAGTGTTA